TGTAGACTGGGCTGGCCCAAACACTCACTTTTTTTGGCTTTCTTCTGTGCTGGTCCTGGGGCTTGAACTTAGAGCCTGGGCCATGACACTGAACTTTTTATGTTCAAGGCTGGCACTCTACCACTTAAGCCATAGCTTTACTTCTGGCTTTTTGTTGTACATTTAATCTCTCAGACTTTCCTGTCCAGGCTGGCTTTGAACCACGATCCTCAGATCTCAACCTCCTGAGTAGCTAGGATTACCAGCATGAGCCACAAGTGCCAAGCTGGCCAAAACCCTTGATCCTTCTGCCTTACCCTTCCAGGTTATTAGGATGACAGATATGTATCACCATGCCCAGCAACACATTCACCTCTGCAACCCTACCAGTACCATGCCAAGCACACAGTGGGTGCGTCACAGATTTTGTTGTTTGTTTTTTTTTTTTTGATCCAGTCGTGAGCCTGAACTCTGGGCTTGGGCGCTGTCCCTCAGCTCTTCAGCTCAAGGCTAGCGCTCTATCATTTGAGCTACAGCACCACTTCCGGCTTTTTTTTTCTGCTTATGTGGTGCTGAGGAATGGAACCCAGGGCCTCATGCATGCAAGGCAAGCACTCTACCACTGAGCCACCTTCCCAGCCCCCAGATGTTTATTTTATATACCATACCTTTTTGTAGTTTGTTCCAGACTTTAAAATTTTAAAAATAGCCAGGCGCTGGTGGCTCACGCCTATAATCCTAGCTACTCAGGAGGCGGAGATCTGAGGATTGTAGTTCAAAGCCAGACCGGGCAGGAAAGTCCATGAGGCTCTTATCTCCAATAAACCACTAGAAAAAACTGGAAGCGGTGCTGTGGCTCAAGCGGTAGGGTAGAGCGCTGGCCTTGAGCTAAAGAGTGCGGGGACAACGCCCAAGCCCAGAGTTCAAGCCCCACGGCCGACCAAAAAAAAAAATTTTTTTAAATAGTGAAATCTTACTACTTTGGGATCTCCAGTTACTTAATATAAAGAAAACGATGTTTACAATGAAATGTACGGAAAGTATTTAGGTTAATAAACCATTTCAAGTACTAAACAAATTACTAGTAAAATAATTACAGTATTTCTTGCTCAGTGAAATGGGCTTAACTTTTAGCATTACTTTGTTAGACTACCTGGAAACACTGAATGCATAATTAGCTTACTTACAAACAAAAGAAAGATAACAGAACTCCTAATCACTGGGGACCTTACTAGTATTAACATTTTTTCCAGTGCTAGGAATTCAATCCAGGCCTTGTTCATAACAGGTAAGCACTGTGCTACCGAGCTAAATTCTTAACCCTTTAACCTTTTAAAAATCATTTAAAGCCAGCCTGCTAGAGGCTCATGCCTATAATACTAGCTACTTAGGAGGCTGAGATCTGAGGATCATGGTTGAATGCCAGCGCAGGGAGGAAAGTCCATGAGACTCTTATGCCCAATTAATAACCAAAAAGTGGTAAGAGGAGCTGTGGCTCAAGTGGTAGAGGGCTACCCTTGATCACAAAAGCTCAGGGACAGTGCTCAGGTCCTGAGTTCAAACCTCAACACTGGCACAAAATAAAATTAAAACAATTAAATAAAAAATATTTTAACACCAAGTGCCAATGGCTTACACCTGTAGTCCTAACTACTAAAGACAATGAGATCTTGAGAATCAAAGTTTAAAACCAGTGGGAGCAGAAAAAATAACTAGGTTCCATCTCTAAAAGTAACCAGCAAAAAGCTGGACATCAATGGCTTGCATCTGTAATTCTAGCAACTCAGGAGGCTAAGATCTGAGGATCTGGTTCAAAGCCAATCCAGGCAGAAAAATCCATGATATTCTCATCTCCAGTTAACCACCAAAAAGCCAGAAGTAGAACTGTTTCAAAGTGGTAGAACACTAGCTGAGGGACAACGCCCTTCCCTGAGTTTAAGCCCAAGGAATGGCACATAAAAAAGTAACTAGAGGGGCTTGGAAGGTGGCTCAGCAGTAAAGTGCTTGCCTCGCATGCATGAGGCCGTGGGTTCGGTTCCTCAGCACCACATAAACAGAAAAGGCCGGAAGTGGTGCTGTGGCTCAAGTGGTAGAGCACTAGCCTTGAGCTGAAGAGCTCAGGGACAGCAACCGGGCCTACAGTTCAAGCCCCACGACTGACCCAAAAAAGTAGGAAAAAGGGCTGGAGGTATGGCTCAAGTCATAAGTGCCAGCCTAGCAAGCACTAGGCCCTTAATTCAAATCACAGTACATCCAAGAAAAAATAATTCTTATCTACAAAGATTCTATAATTCATACTTCTTTCACTGACAGATGTTATTTTGCATATATTTTTCTACATTATTCAATAAGCAAGAAACAGCCTATTTTCTAAAAATAGACAGACTACTAACATTTTACCATCTTACATTAATTAAGAACAACAGAATAAATCTCCCGAGGAATATGAGACAAATAATTAAGCCTATTGTCAGGTGAAAGCACAAGTCAGTGATTTATATGTGAATATATGTGCATACCAATGAATCATACTTACTTATGTTGATACATACGTATGTAAGTTCATTTTAAAAGAGATGGCTCACATCTGTAAGGCTGGCTACTCAGGAGGCTGAAATGTGAAGATCTTGATTCAAACTCAGCTTGGGTAGAAAAGTCTGTGAGGCTCATATCTAAAAACCGGAAGTGGAGGCGTGGCTCAAGTGGTAGAGCACTAGCCTTGAGCAGAAAAGCTCAGGGAGTTTCCAGGCCCTGACTGAGTTCAAAGTCTAGAACTGGCACCAACAAATAATGCCAAAATAAATTGTTTTTCATTATAAAACTAATACTTGTTGATGGTTAAAAAAACACACAGCACACCTCATTTGAAATTCAAAGTAAAATGATTTTCATCCACTTGCTCTTCTGTAAGTCTCCGCTAGTATTCTTCCCCATGTATTTTATAAGAAATCATTTGCGCTAATGGAAGGACTACATAGACATATGTCTCTGTGTTTGTGGATATAAATCGTTTTAGCCGCACGCCTGTAATCCTAGCTACTCAGGAGGCTGAGATCTGAGGATCGCGGTTCAAAGCCAGCCCGGGCAGGAAAGTCCGTGAAACTATCTCCAATAAATTGTCAGGAAACCAGAAGTGGTGCTGTAGCTCAAGTGGTAGTGTGCTCGCCTTGAGCTGAAGAGCAGAAGGACAGTGCTCAGGCCCAGAGTTCAAGGCCCATGACCAACCAAAAAATAAAAATAATCCACTTGAACTTTTTCTCCCTCTGTCGGTATGGGGCCTGAACTGTCCGCTTGGGTGCTGTCCCTCAGCTCTTCAGCTCAAGGCTAGCGCTCTACTGCTTGAGCCACAGCACCACGTTTGGCTTCTGCTTATGGGGTGCTGAGGAACCGAACCCAGGGCCTCATGCATGGAAGGCAAACAGTCTACCAGTGAGCCACCTTCCAAGCCCCAGCCATTTGTACTTCTTTTTTTTTTTTTTGTCGGTCATGGGGCTTGAACTCTGGGCCTGGGCGCTGTCCCTCAGCTCTTCAGCTCAAGGCGAGCGCTCTACCACTTGAGCCACAGCGCCACTTCCGGTTTTCTGGTGGTTTATTGGAGATAGGAGTCTCACAGTCTCTCCTGCCGGGGATGGCTTTGAACCTCGATCCTCAGATCTCAGCCTCCTGAGTAGCTAGGATTACAGGCGTGAGCCACCAGCGCCCGGCTTCATTAGTACTTCTTAAATGGCAGAAAGAATACAAGTCAAGCACTAGTTTCCCATGCATGTTCAATACAGAGTAGTACAGTTTTTAGTAATGGTAAACCAAATGCACTTAATATTTTCTGCTTGGAGGCTATATGAAGCAATAGCAGAAGAGTGGTGGCCTGGAGGTCTGAAAGTGGGTTCTCATCTAAGTAATCTGGCAGCCTTAGGCAAGCATTGGAATCCAGAACCTCGGTTTCTGCTTTTAAAACAAAAGGGTTGGTCAAAGATCCTTTCCAATTCTGTAAAATGTTATAATTCTAAGATGGCCGTCTGTAACAGTCTTCTCTTGAACTGGCTAGAACAAATTGTACTGGAACAAAAAGAGAAGAAGCATTTCCACTGTACAATGTTATCAAGAGTAAATTTCGAAGTTATTAACTATCGAGGTTTAGTTGTGACAGAAGTAATGACAATTATGTTTGGATGAAAAGTAGTGGATTATTAAAATCTGAAAGATTTTGTTACAACGGTTTGGCGGGTTGTTTTTGGAGGTGGAGAGCGTATTGCTTAGTTTCAGCAATCACTATTTTCCTCCCTCAACCCACGGCCCCCACAAAATTTAATTGTATTGAGCAGTTAAAATAATGAAAGGGAGCGTCTACTGGAGTTTAGGTGTTACAGATACGCTGGGAAGGCTGACTAGGGCAAGAGAAGGCTGGAAAGAATTACCCACTAATTTCCTCTTCCGGAAGCTCTTTGGCCTCAATTCTTTCTGATTCACTCGCCCTTGCCAGACACACACCATCAGGCACCACACAAGCCACAGGCAGCAGATTGGGGATGGGAGGAGTGGAGAGTCCCCTTTGATCGTATTTTTTAACAAAAGTTCTTTGACTCCATTTACCTTAGTTGTCACAAGGTTTAAGAAGGCAGACCCAAGGGCCTCGAGCCACCCACCCGCCCACCCACGCCTTCCTTGGACAGCCCGAGAACCTCGGCCAAGGGCCCCAGTCCGACTTCCCCCGTCAAAGGCGGGCGCGGCCTTCCCGCCCTCCCCAGCTACGCGGGAACGGAAGTAGAGGGAGGGGTGAAATATGGAGGGGCGGCGGGGAGGGGAAGGGAGGGGGAGGCAGGGAGGGGAATGGAGGGGGAGGCAGGGAGGGGAAGGGAGGGGCAAGGAGGGGAAACGGGGAGGGGTAGGGACGGGAGGAAAAGTGGGGGTAAAGCCTTCAGGAGCCGTACCCACCGCTCCTCGAGCCGGCCCCAACCACCAGTGGCGAGCGGCTCGGGCCCGAGGGGAGGGTCCCGGAGGAGGGGCGGCCCGAGCCCCAATCTCGAAATGTCAACTCCGCTCAGCGGCCGGGTCCTAGCCTAGGAGAAAGAAACGGAGGTCTCTTCGTCTCCCTCACTCGCTTGCTCACCAGCAGGTCCGTGCCCCTGAAAGAAGCCGGTGTCCGGAACGAAGTACCTCCACTTCTGGGCCTCCAAACGACACCGGGCAGCGTCCGTCCTATTCTTAGGCCAGGGCCCGGCCCTGGCCGACTCCTTCCCCCCCACCCCACCGGGAGGTCGGACTCCCGCCTAGCAAAGCCCCTCCTTCTCCCCCCCCCCCCTCCTCTCTCCGCCATTTTCAAACTTACCCTTCGGACCCAGGCGTCCCTAGGTTAGCGCCGCACTCGCTCGGGGCGCAGCCAAGGTCCCGCCACTTCCCGGAGCCGGAAGGGGGTAGCAAGAAAAAAAAATCCTCACCCCCCCCCCCACACCCATGCCCCCCCCCCAGCTCGAAACATTAACCTGACGGAGCGGGCGCACATGCGCAATGGCACCTTTCCAGTCCCCGCCTCCTAGCTCAAGCGATTTCCCCTTCAACCTTAAAGATGATTGTCCCCAAGGCTTTTTGCCTGCTGAACTGGGACTGGGGAGTAGGGATAAAGGTGAACGTAGGGGAAAAAGTAAGAAGGGAATGAGTATGTGACGTTCGTACTAGACCAGGCACTGTGCGACACATGTAAAGTGTTCTTTGTTGTAATTTCGACAACGCTGTAAGGTAGGCACTCTAATGAAACCCATTTTACAGAGGAAACTGAGGTCCAGGCATGCTAATTATCGCAGTATCACTCAGATGATAAAATAAATTACCTTATTACAATCTGTTCAGTCACTTCTTGGCCTTCTGACTAAAATCATGTGTAGGATGTTTCCAAGCGAAGAAAAATGAAAGAAATGACAAATGGACAGATACTAAATAGGATCTGAAACAAAAATGAAAATACAGGAAAGGGAAAGTACATGGCAAAGAAATATAAAGTCTTTGTGCACAAAATGATGGTCATATCCTAGGCTTATTTCAAATGAATTTTTGTTTCAGGACCCTGGACTTACTACACTGACTAGTTAATTTCAAACAGACGATCCTAGGAGTAATTTTCATTATCAAACGATTCTACTCATAATAAAGGGTACTAGAAAATTAAAAGAAAATTTGAATTTTGATTCTTGAGGTTTTGTGACACATTATCCCTTCTGATGATCTGCTCACCTTTACAGCCCTAGGAATTGCATATCTGGCTTGTTGCAATAGTAAGGAACTACTTATCTACTAAATTCTTACAGCAATCTTACTTAGTGTGTAACTCTTTATTCCTAAGTTTTTTAAGATATGGCTTTACTGTGTTGCACAAGCTGCTCTCAAATTTCTTACCCCAAGCCATCCTCTGGCCTCAGTCTCATAAGTAGCTGGAATTGTCATATCCATTTTTAAAATAAGAAAATTAGATGGGGTGCTAGTAACTCACACCTGTAATTCTAGCTACGTGGGAGATTCAAACCTGAGGGTCACGGTTGAAAGTCAGACTAGGCAGGACTAGGCACTTTTATCTCCAATTAACCACCAGAAAGCCAGAAATGGAGCTGTGGATTAAGTGGTAGAGTGCTAGTCTTAAATTAATAAGCTCAGAAACAGCACCCAGGCCTTGAGTTCAATCGCCAGGATAGGCACCAAAAGAAGAGAGGGAAGGGAATGAGAGAGGGAACGAATTGAGGTTTAGAGAAGTTAGAAAACTTGCCCAAATCATCTGCTACTCTCTGGCAGATGGAACAGTGATTCATACCCAGATCTGTATACTCAGAAATCTATGTCTGATCCATTACCCCATACGCTAAGTGACTTCCTCACCCTTGGACTGCTCCCCCCAATCTAGCTCACACAAGTTATCTAAGTTCCATCCTTCAGTGCTGCCTCCCGGATACTAAATAGCTTTAGCTGGATTTTTTTTTTTTTTTGTCCTTCACTTCATGTTCACTTACCTCCAGGGCCCCTAACAGATCTTCCAACAAAGCATAACTAATCACTGTGCTCCTGCCTGGTCTCAGGTTTCCTGTTCCCAATCATTTGTTCAAATGCTCCCTCTGCCTAGGTGAAAAGCCTGCCCTCGGCAAAGCCTTCGCTAATTCCCTTAGCTGAAGATTACCGCTTCATCCTCCAAACCCTTTTGACCCTTGGAATTTGTTATATTACTGTAATAAAATGTACATAATAAAATGTACACTGTAACCATTTTAAGTGGCACTAAGTACAATAGTGGTACCATTCAGTGGCACTAAGTACATTCAGATTGATTGTTGTGTTACCATGAGCACCATCCATCTTTAGGACTTTTTCAGATAACTTCCACTAAAGTTGGTTCTTTGTTGTGAAGCACAGAGTGTTAGACCGTGTAGTATAGCTACTAGTCCTTATTTCTCACTTTTTTTGGGTCACTCATGGGCCTGAACTCTGGGCCTGGGCCCCACAACCAAAGTAAAAGAAAAAAAAATAAGCCCTCACTGATCTGTGATCTCATCATATCTTCACTATTTCTCTTCTATGTTGAACTTCTGTAATTGCTAGACTATAATTGATGTGATTGTACCATTTATAGGCTGGGTCATAAAAATTATTGTGGTTTCTTTTTTTCTGCTCCCCCCCCCCCTCCGGTCATGGGGCCTGAACTCTCATCCTGGGAACTGTCCCTCAGCTCCTCAGTTCAAGGGTAGTGCTCTCTACCACATGAGCCACAGCACCACTTCTGGCTTTTTCGGCTTATGTGGTTCTGAGGAATGAAACCCAGGGCCTCATGCATGCAAGGCAAGCATTCTACCACTGAGCCACCTTCCCAGCCCCCTGTGATTTCTTTTTGTTTGTTTTGGGAGTTTTTTTTTTTTTTTTTTTTTTTGCCAGTCCTAGGGCTTGAACTCAGGGCCTGGACATTGTCGCTGAGCTTCATTTGCTCAAGGCTAGTGTTCTACCACTTGAGCCACAGCACCACTTCCGACTTTTTCTGTTTATGTGGTATTGAGGAATTGAATCCAGAGCTTCATTCATGCTAGGCAAGCACTCCCACTAGGCAACCTTCCCAGCCCCAAGTATTGTGGTTTCTGTCTTGCTCTCTTTTAGATTATTTGCTCTAAGAGAAGCCTGGCATCAAGTTATGAATATTTTGAAACAGAACATAAAGATGCCCAAATGAGCAGAAATTAGATTTTTCACCTCTTCTTGTCTCCCTTTCCTCTAAAAGCCAGCCAGCATAACTTGCCAACCATGTGAATGAGCCACTTCAAAAGAGGATAGACAGCCGGGCGCTGGTGGCTCACGCCTGTAATCCTAGCTACTCAGGAGGCTGAGATCTGAGGATCGCGGTTCAAAGCCAGCCAGGGCAGGAGAGACCTTGAGACTCCTATCTCCAATAAACCACCAGAAAACCGGAAGTGGCGCTGTAGCTCAAGTGGTAGAGCGCTCGCCTTGAGCTGAAGAGCTGAGGGACAGCGCACAGGCCCAGAGTTCAAGCCCCACGACCGACAAAAAAAAAAAAAAAAAAGAGGATAGACATTTCAGGCCTAGATATCAATGTTTGAGACTCAAAGTCAGAACTGTCCAGTCACGCCATCACTCAATTCATATGCATTGTTGTTATGTACACCTATGATTATACGTAAGATAATGAATTCAAGTATTCTGCACAGTCATGATCCCTGCCAACTTTATGTCTTCATCTCCTAATATTCACTCCATTGTTGCTTTAGCTTTCCTACCTCGTATCTTTGTGTTTCCTACTCATTCTGCCTGGAATATGGCCCCCAAAATTAGTATGGCTTGTTCTTCATTGAATTATCCCCTTCTCCAAAAGGACTAGAGTGACCACCATATTTAAAATTATACTCCAAGGCCCAAGAAGTAGTTCAATGCTTGCCAGGAATGTGTGAGAACTTATGTTCTTTGACTAATTTTGCCAAAAAATAAAGTTGGGTTCGCGTGGCTTACATCTATAATCCTAGCTACTCTGGGGGCTAAGATCTGAGGATTGAGGTTCAAAGCTAGGGTAGGCAGGAAAGGCCTTGAGACTCTTACCTCCAATGAAATGCCAAAAAGCCACAAGTAGAAATATGGATCAAATGGTAGAGTGCTAGCCTTCAGCAAAAATTCCAAGTTAGAGCTAGAGGCCCTGAGTTCTTGCACAAAAATTAAAAGATAAAACAAAATACCTCATATTCTCAGCACTCATAGTCTCCCTTTTGTTACTCTCTATTTCCTCATTTCCATGGCACCTGCCACTTTTCTAATAAACTTTACGGTTTTGTTATTAATTTTATTTACCAGGAACCTGTAGAATACATACTCTCCAAGATCATGGGATCTTTTTTTTGTTCACTGGTATCCAAGTACTTAGTATAGTGGCTGACACAGTGTATGTACACAGAAGATACTTGTTGAATGAGTGAATAAGTGTTTCGTGAACATTCTAGACCCTTGTTACATCCTTACTGGGTGAATTGTCAGTTGAGAGAGTTGAACATACCTTAGCTCTGGTATCTAGGTTTTATTTGCATGAAAATACAAAGGCATGAAATTGGAAACAGTATCTGTGAAGAGTTTACCTATACAAGAATATCTAGTTATAATTGCTAGGAGCTGAAGAGAAAGAATTGTGAGTGGTATTAGATTAAACCATATGAAATTGCCAATGTTTCATCGATGCCAAATGTTGCAAGGAGAAATTTAATATGTTTGCACATAATAGGAGAAAGGAAAATTCATGGCCTAAAGACTGAGAGGAAATGAGAACAAGATGGGATCAAGCACAAACAGAGGCATTAACTTTGAATAGAACAAAGGATATAGCCTCAGAGACTGGAGGGTACAAAAAATACAGTTGGGCAGAGGAGAATTTACATGGTAGGCACCACACTTCGGTGGCAACTGTGTTCTGTGGGGGAAAATGTCAAGAATACTTTCCTGCTGGGAGGAACAACACAACTTTAGCATTAGAACCTTTTTGTTTTGCAAAAATGATCGCAAGGAAAAAAAATGATCGCAAGGTAAAGACCAAATAAATATGATAGAAAGTAGAGCCACTGTGAATGAGGAGGTGTGTGTAGAGTGAGCTCCAGTTATCTGTCTGATGTGCCTTCTGTAGGAAAGGTGCATGCCTGAAGAAAACAGCTCCTGATTGCCAGAGAACTGCCTTTGTGAAATTCATTCATGGCAACAATTTTCTACAAGCAGCATCAGATTTTCAGTCTCCTGGCTTTGGCTCTGATGTCATAATCACTAACCTCTTACCCTTCTCTGCCAGAAAGATTGCAACTGTAATTTCCTGTCTTTGTGCAATCATAAAATGTCTGCCTTTATCTTGTTCTGGAAAAACTAGCATCTCCAGCTAGCCCTTGCTTTCCTTTCTGTACTTTTATCTTCCAGGGACTTGGTCATATGGAAGAGACCTATTACTTGTTTACAATGGAAGAAGAGCACACCCTTAGCTCACAGTAATAGGACATTCTACCTGGATTTTCTGTATACTAATCTAGTCCTATGGTGACACACAACTGACTCATTGCTTAAAAAGCTAAATCTGGCTAGGAATATGGCATAGTGGTGCTTGCCTAGAGTGCTTGCCTAGCATGCATGAAGTCTTGGGTTTGATTCCTCAGTTCCACATAAACAGAAAAAGCCAGAAGTGGTGCTGTGGCACAGGTGGTAGAGTGCTAGCCTTAAGCAAAAAGAAGCTCAGGGACAGAGCCCAGGCCCTGAGTTCAAGCCCAGGACTGGAAAAAAAAAGCTAGCAATGCAACCACAATATCAAGTGAGTTGTCACAATGCATGCAGCATACACAGGAAAGGAAAGCTAGTAGAGTTGAGATCTAGGAGAATGGGTAGCCTGTGGAAGGGGTCAGTGTAGGTGGGAGTGGAATTTGTATTTAGAGAAAAAAAATGATGAGTCAGAAGCCAAAAACCTGAGTGAAATGGAAGGTGTGTCCTGAATCCAGATAATAATAGTGTTTACTGAATGTTTATTGTCTTAAGTGATTGGCACATCTTATCTGTTATAATCCCCTCCATAACCCTGTGACCTAAGTGTTCTTTTTATTCTTGTTCTTAGTCAGACTCTAGGTTGGATAACTGACACGTTGTAGCTACTCAAGGGTTCAGATACTCCTCCAAAATTCTCTACAATGACATCTCACTTGGTAGAAACAAGCAGTGTTCTAAAGGCAGAGCCCAGAGAAGGATTATGCGACCCACATCAGCACTGGCCTCACCTAAGACCTTAGGCTCTTTTTGCAGTGCTGAGAGCAGAACCCAGGACCTCATGAACACTAACTAGACCTGTGCTCTAACACTGAGCCTCGGTGTCAGGCCCAGCAATCTTAAGTCTTGAAGAACCACCAAGAGTAAGCTACACAATGTAGTGAGAAAAGCATTCGAAGCCAAGAAGTCAGAAAGCACTAATGCATAGAAGTAGGACAAAATATGCTAGCATGAACTGAATGTTCATTACTTTCTCACTATGTTAACTGTGTGACATTGTGACAAAGCCTCTCTTCTTTAAACCAGTCAGTCTCCTCTTGAGTCTTGTTTTCTGAGTAGATTTGACATTAAGCTCTGTCCTAGATACATTTAGTCCAGTTTCAGCATGAACTTTTTGGAATTTGTTTTGTAAACTCCATCTCCTCCATCTGATCACCCATATCTGACCAAATTCCTCATCCACTACTCATCACTTTGGCCTGCCTCC